TGGAACAGATGAGGAACCTGAAGCTCAGAAAGATTACTTGGTAACTTGCTTGTGGTGATCCAGGGTCAGTATAGGAGCTAAGGTTCAAATCCAAGTGTCTCCAGTGCTACGTAGACATCTTGTTCTTTTCACAATGTTATGTGGTCTCCTGTGTTTCCTGGCCACTCTTGTTAGAGTTCCCTAAAAACAGCCTTCTGGATGTGAGAAAACTAGTTGGAAAATAACTTCTTTACTCACAAATGTTTTTAATTATATTGAAGCACAGAAATGTTCAAAATAGTTTGCACTAGAATTGAAAAGCAAACATTATAAGTTTCTTCCATTTCATTAAAGAGTTATTTAATCTTTGCATTGTTCCCTACATAAAAGCTGAGCAGAATTTTTTCAGGCAATTGCCTCAAAGTTATAATCTAGAAAATCTTTCCGTAAGAAAACCCATATGTCATTGGAGAAAGGTGCAAAGCCCTGGCAGAGAGGGTTGGTCTTGAGAGGGAGTCTGCACCCAATCTCGTTAACCAGGGTGCCTCTGATAATCCCTCATCCCCTCACCAGTGAGAAATCAATCTGTACCACTGAATCTTTTTCAACCGGCCACCAGAAAATTTACTGCAGAGAAGACAGTTTGGGGATAGTCATTGTGGAAAGGAAGCCAGAGGCAAGGCTAAATGTAAGATGGAGGAATTGGAAAGTCTAAAGAAGAGATTATATTAAACTACACACCACCTTCAGAGAAAGCAGGAGATTATATTAAACTTCGTACCACCTTCAGAGAAAGCAGGATGGAGCCCTCCTTTCATCCCTGACCTCTCTAAGTATACCAAGCTGTTTACAGCTACCATGAACCTGGCAGCCATAGAGGTAGTGCAAAGAGGGCAGTAGAAACCCGGAAGTTGATTGTAGTTTATCCATTTGCTGCCTTTCAATGTGTACGAATAGTCCCTTCTCCACACTCCGCAGCAATTCACGTTAACCCTAACTGCAGTGACAGTCTGCATTGTGGCTTTTCCAGTTGTGATCTAAGCACAACATAGGAGGACCTATAAATCATGACTTGACGAGGGGCTCATGATTCTTTTCTGCACAGTAGACACCATGGTGGTTGATGATCAGTGGATCCCTCTGGGCATAGTTACTAGAATGGTAGTAGTGTTGACTTCCTGTTGAAACTTGTAGTCCTGGAGAATAAATCCAGAATCAGAAAATAGTTAATAGAATTCACTGACTAGATAAAACCCTCTGAGCAATCTTGTTGTCTCTAGAATTATTTTCTATATAATACATTCCAGGGAAAAAAGAACCAAGAGAGAATGAAGGACCTGGAAGTGCCAAGCTGAAGAGCATGTAATCTTATCTTGGCCATTTATTCTAGAATTACACCAAGCTGTTACTTTTGGGAAGAAGAAGGGGCAGAACTAGGCATAGGGAAATGGAAATATCTCTCCTCTGTAAGGAGGCAGTAGCCATCACTAAAGGTTTTTCCCCAAGGAGATTTGAAATTCTTGGTGGGAGTTTTTTTTTTAGTAAAACACATTTATATATAAAATCCTACTGGAATATGTGTGTGTGTGTGTGTGTGTGTGTGTGCACGCGCGTGCGCGCACGCACATGAGGAATATAGAATAGTAGCAGAAGGCTGTCTCCCCACTCCTAATGGGATTTTGTAGCAGCATGTGTGAGTTTGTTTCAGAAGTCAAAAATGAACAGATGTTGGTATAAATTACCTCTGTGTCTGATGTCTTGCAAATTAAAAGCGCGGTTGGCATCACTAAACAATTTCACTAGGTTTGTGGGGGGCGGAGGGTGCAGTTAGCAGGCGGTGATTACTGTAGCAGGTTGGTAAGAATCTTCACAATTCCGCAGAGCAGAAGAGCAAGGGTAAAGAAATGGGGAATAAAATAAGGGCTATATGAATTAATCAGAGATGTTAACATCTCTGATGACAAGTGAACAGGAGGGCACATGCTCTGGAGCAGCCCCTGACCCACAGCAATTTCTTGGTGCACAGAAAGGGGTTGGTGCTTAGGATCTGATTTATAGGGCCCAGCCCTCTTTTAGGGAGCGGCTGTGTCACACATTCGTATATCTCCTATATGGGACTGGCGAGTAGGGAAACTTTCTCCCCTCCCATGCAAGAGATGATGTCTTTTGAATTACTTCTACTTTTACGGTGGTTTCCTACAGCTCTGTGTAGTTGGATTAGGTTGAAGGGGGAGGAATGATTGAGTGGAAGGGGGTTGTTAAAAGGATTGGTTAAATTCAAGGAGAGCTTGCCACTGGAGAAACTTCAGAATGTCCATTTATTTTTCCTTTTAAGCCCTTTAGTCCCTTAAATAGTTTAGGTCTTTAAAAATTCTAAGTCTTAAAATATTATTCTCCCATTTGGGAAAAACAATAAGGAATTGGTAAGTGTCGAGGGCAGTAGGTAGAAATCATTAGGGAAATCAGTGTGGTGCTCCAGGCCCAGGGCTTTAAAACAAGGCTCAGTTCTCCCTAGTAGAGTTTTGTATCACCCATGCCTGGTTTCCAGAGCACCAGCTTCTAACCATGCTGCAAGATCACTTGTTACCTGTTTAAAAGACCTTAATAAGCATTCAGAGTAGGCAGATAACTCATCCAATAGAAATAAATGATGAGACCCACTTTGCCCAAAAGTATATAAAGTCCCCTAAGGCTGAGGGGAAAGAGTCCAAGGAATGAGGGGATATTTGAGATTGTAAGCCTCCATTATCACCATGTATTCATTCACTCAGAAAGTACTGAGCGCAGGTTGGGCACAGTGGCTCACTGTAATCCCAGTACTTCAGGAGGCCAATGCAGGAGGATCACTTGAGGCCAGAAGTTCTAGACCACCTTGGGCAAAATAGCAAAAAAAAAAAATTTAAATAGCTGGGTGTGGTGACATGCACCTGTAGTCCCAGCTGCTCAGGAGGCTGAGGCAGGAGGGTTATTTGAGCCCAGGAATTTGAGGCTGTATTGAGCTATGATCACACCACTATACTCTAGCCTAGACAAGGGAGAGTGAGACTTTTCTAAAAAAAAAAAAAAACAGCATGGAGTGTAAAAGGAAGAGAACTTAATTACCCACCTCTGGAAGTATTATGTTAATAATTACTACTATATCAAGCATCTTGATTATTGTTAATATCCAAGGGAAAAATCATGCAGGTAGCATTAACATACTGCCCATTACAGGTGAAGAAACTGAGGTTCAGCATATCATCCAGCTGCTAAGTGCTAGAGCTAGAACTAAACTGAGTTCAAATCCTGTGTTCTCTGGAAGAAGCTGCCTCTCATAGCCAAGAAAGTACTTGATTGAATTTTTTTTAGAGTAGTTATTCCATGACCCCAGATCTCTCCATTAACTTGGCATTACTTCCATCAAGGGAAATGATTTTCCTTGCCTAATAAGCCAAATATGTTTTAAAAGACTTTTGCAATGTAGAGAATGGCGCACAGAGGACCACTAACTAGTCTTCTTATTTGTGTGTGGAAGGGAAGGAAACTAAAATGTATTGTACCCCTACTTGGTTCTAGTTCTTTTGTATATTGTCATTCAGGCAGCCAACATTTATTCAGCAGATAGGAGCTCTAAACAATCTCTGCCCTCAGTTCTTACATTTTAGTGGTGGGAGACAAGCACATAAACAAGTAATTGCATGCAAGTCTTGTGGGGACTTTGACTGTACAGTGTTTTGTGTACATCTACAACAGAAGGAATGGTCAGTTTGATTTGGGCTCGGGTGGGGTTGCAGGCATATGAAACAAGACCTGCACTAGGGCTTCTACTCCTAGTTAATGGGATTTCCTTTCCTTTCACTGGAGTTCAGGAACTAGTGGAAGGGGATATATAGCTAGAAGTTATTAAAAGCCTCCCTGTGGTGACAGAGTTTGTGTTGTTTCTTCACTGTACAAATGAAAAAGGAACTGCTAAACTTAAATTGGGGCAGTGGCGAGTGGGAATTTACTAATCTAGTACCATTTGCTCTTGGCTTGGGAAGGAGGCAAGGGCCAAGGTCCTCCTCATTCCTTGAAGATGCTTCCATGGCTACCTGACTTCTTGGGAGGCCACACAGCCTGCTTTGTGCGCACTGCATGCTTCCAGAAGACTTCTGGGTTATAGGGCCAGAAATCAGAAACTTTCAGCACTGTTAAATTCATTTAAGAGATCCAAAAAGATGACCCCATGGGATAAGGGTGAAGGGGGTGTTATACTACGTATGCATTTTAAAGATTTGTTTGACAGAGCTAAAACGTGGGGAGAGGGTGCTTCTGGAGTGGGCCTTGTAATTGAGAAATGTTTTGCTTTCATTTTGGAGCCTATATGTGGGAAAGTAGCTGTATAAACCCACTTGTAAGTACAGCATTCAGAGATTGATGGTGCTGAAAGTCAGAGAAAGACACATAAACCTTGCCTGCCTATATTAAATATCTAAGGACTGACAATGCCAAGAGAGAGAAGACCAAAGCTCTATAAACCCTACTTTATTACACCATCCACAGATGAACTGCACTGAGGGAATATAAACCCTGTTATATTACAGTATCCAGGGACTACCAGTCCTGAGAGATGGGGTCAATGATCTCTAATTTCGATTTGAGATTATAAATGTCCAGAGACCAACAACCCAGAGAAGACTGTAATCTTGGTTGAATTTTAGCCTCCAAGAGCAACCCCCCTGAGATAGTGAACATGAGTATTAAGTTAAGATTCTTGGGAGAGAGAAAGCTAGGTTTGGGGGGAATTCCCTGATAGATTTTTTAAAGGTGAATGATGAAGTCTTCCCCAGTTGGCCTATATAGCAATTGCCAACTTCAGAATAGCTTTGTATGGTTTTAGTTGTCAATAGTGGTTTGTTTTTCCTCCTTTTTGGAAGTTAATAGTGATTGTATCTGTTGTGATATGTAACTTAAATCAATTTGCATTTCTTAAATTAAATCTTCCTATGATCCTTTTTTCAGATTTCAGATTTTCATTGATCTTTCGTATGCTTTGATTTCAGCCAGAGAAATGACACGGGGGAAATTCCTCAACATTCTAGAAAAGCCCAAGAAGTAGCAGCTGCTGGTGGACAGGATGTCCTGGGAACTGTAACCAAGCTTCCTTTCTAGTGCAGCTCTGACAATGCACGCCTCACTGCTTCTTCCAGGGAGGCCAAGGATGGACCTCCAGGACTGTGTCCCTCCCCTAGTCCTGGCACGCTGCACCTCTGAGGACGCTCAGCAGCAAGAGAAGAATCTGCTGTAACCAAGGATCATTCCAGTCATTCAGTCAGCTTCCACACTTTGACCTTCTTACCTTCAGAGGACTTAATTGTTCTTAAATATCAAAGTCCTGCTTTATCATTTCAAGAAGTGATTCAGGAGCCCCAGGATCTCACAGCTGATTTGACTCAGTCATGGAAAAGTCATTTGTGACATTTTGATTGAATGGGTACTTTTGAGTTGTACTTCATGTCTTCACATATTTATGAAGTTATCAGTTTCTGATAGCTGTACTTCATGTCTTCATGTGTTTATGAACAAGGAGACCAGAGACCAACCAGATTCTGGATCAGGCCATACAGCCTGACCTGTGAACAATCCAATATATACTGAGTTCAAGAATCCCCAGCTGGAGAAACCAGAATCTTCTCAAAATGCACATGTGCTTTTTAAACTCTGCACTTCTCCTGATCATCCCATCGCCCAGCCCTACCTTCCAGTTCTGACTCTAAGCAAAGAGATCTCTGACTTAGTGAGTCCCTCCAGGAATTAGCCTGTATAGGAAAAGGCCCATGCAAGTTGCATTGGGCTCTAGACCTCAAGACCAATCTAAAAGTGACAGAAAGGACTTTTAAGTTCTAGTTAATCTGTTATAGATTCAAGCAAGAAAGTCAATATGGCCTGAAAGATAGGAGAAGAAAGTGGCTTATAGGAGTTCCCATTTGGTTGAAAACTGGAGGCCATAGTTGACCTTACAGGAATATGCTATGAGATGATGGCAACATTTTGTCCCTTCTTATAACACATATCAGATAGTTCACCTATATAACAGAAACTTACACACATGCGTGCACACACACACAAAAGAAAAAGAGAATTTCCTGACTTAAATGCAGCTCTCATGGAGTTCTTCACCAGTTATCTGCCTCTGTATTAAAACCTGAAACTCAAGCCCATGGATAAAATCCACTATCTGTGATCTCCATATTTGTCTTCTAGGCCAGAACCCAGCATCTGATGTTTTGACAAGTGCATGGAGTTTTCTTTTTTTTTTAATTCAACAGATATTTATTGGCCATTGGAAATGTGTCAGCCACTTTTCTAAGCACTTGAGGAGACACTTTAGTGAATGAAACTGACAAATTTCATGCCCTCCTTAGCCTTACATTTTAATGAAACAGGACAATAAATGAAAAGCGTAATCAGGAAATTATACCTTATGTTCTAAGTAGATGAGTACTATGGCACGATATATACTTGCATATTTAGTTTACACATTGCATCAGACCAGTAGCTTAGAAAGCTTCTGATGTGGAGGGAACATTTTTTAGGGTGATTCTCTCATGCATCCTCTTGTGGTGGTGTTAAGTGGACGACTGGCAGTAGCTTCTGTGGCAAAGGGAAAATAGAGCTTCTCGCCTGTGTGGATTCTCATGTGAGTTTTTGCAGGTTGGTTTTGTGGCTGACAGACTTCCACACGATTCATGGAGTTTTCTTTATGAAAAGAATATCCTATGGCAAGAGTCTGATAGTATTTGGACACAAAAGTTGCTGTCAAGTGTTTTGGTCTTGAATGTCTAGAGGACAGCACTCTTCAATTTAATAGCTGGTCCATTGACTATCTTCTGACATTTGTGCCTTGTTCCCATGCTACAATTAATGCCATTTGACCATCCATGCTACTTTATTTATTGAAAGAAAAAAAAATGAACATGAGACACAAAGAATAAGTATGAGAAGTGAAGCCTTCTGCTGGGGTGCTGCATAGAAGGTTAGGTTATAGAAGCTGCGATTTTAAGTTGAGCTTACTATTGACATTTCTTTATCTCATTAAACACGGTTGATGTGTGTGTGTGTGGCAAAAAAATTGTGCCATAATGTCCAATTATTCCTTTGCTCTGTTTTTGAGAGTTGGTGGCATTAGGCACTTTTAAGTGTTTGGGAAAATTGATTGAGATACCTCCCCCAAACCAACTCAAGTCTATAACCAGAAGCCAGGCAGTGGGTTTTCTGGTCTGCTTTGGCCTCCTTTTACTGTCATCTTACTCACCAGCACTTAATGTAAGTAGATGTTTTAGAATTGCAATATTTATTGGTTTTATATTTGTCGTCTTAGAAATGTTCATGATGTATTTTTATATTAATAATATAAATTTATGTACAATGTGTATGTGTATGTATTTCAGGATATTAGAGGATTATACTTTGTATGTGATGGTTTCTGTGTCTTCATAATAAATATGTCCCTTTTATAGGAGGGTGAGTTTTTCCTCAGAAGACTTGAGTTGTACATGTAAAGCAAAGAGCTAATCAGAAGTACAACTATAATGACCAATAATCCACGAGCTTCCCCTTTGCTGTCTTAGTGGGTGGTTTCGTCTTCTTAGTCTCTCAGCTACCAGTCTATCCTACCAGCCAATCCTGCTCATTACTGCTCAACTCCCTAAAGTAGTACTTAGAAACCTTCTATACCTCCCCATGTCCACTAATAAGGTCTGGAGCTCTTGACCTGGCATTTTAAGACTCTACATGTAAACCTAATGGTTTGGTTTCCTTCCTCTCCTATATGTGAAGTCTCTGTTCCAGTTACTCTGAACAATTCCCAGTTGCTCACTTCAGCACCTTTGCTCATGCCAGTGAGTTTCTAGAGAGTCTCACATCCCTTTAGACCTATCAAACCTATCTTCCTTATAAGCCCTCATGATGCGGTTGGAAGTGATCCTTCCCCCTGCCTTCCTAACAGCATTATATATGTTGACTGTGACTCTTACCACACCCTTCCTGCCTTCTGAATTATAAGCTCAAGGTTATACCTGTCTCCTACACATCTAGTTCTTCAGTGTCTTCTTTGAACTGCAGTTTAAGACCTATCTAACTGCAGACTTTGTTATACGTGACGAATAGAAAACAAGTATTTTTCTGCCACCTATAAAATTCCTTAGTGTGAGTTTTGACCATGTTCAAGAAGTATAGAAGAGAAAGTACTCATTCATGCAACTTCTGTCACCCATGGATAGTTTACCTGCTCTAGACCAGACCAGACCCTTTTAGAGAAAGCATTTTGTGATCTAGAAAAGCATGGCTGATTGACTAAACAGGGGCAGCATTATGAATGTCCTAAGTCCTGAGAGACTGTTTTTCCAATAAGTAATTACTTGTCAGAAGATTTTTTTCCCCCATTTCCATTTGCCATTCCAAATATTATCCTGTAATGCATGTCTTGGCTTTTAGGAGCACTGTCTTTTTTTTTTTTTTTTTTTTGAGACGGAGCCTCAAGCTATCCCCCTGGGTAGAGTGCCATGGCATCACGCTCACAGCAACCTCCAACT